ACAAAATTTTCTTGATTGGCTTATGACGTTTTTGTTTCTACAAAAAATGTTGCCTTCTCATCGCGGTGTTCTTAGTTTTTGTGCGTAGAGGGCAAAGAGAAGGTTGAATTTTTCGGTAGTTTGTTTAAGTGTACATTTAACCATTTCTTATATTTTTGCTCATACAAAATGCGACATCACGACGCCTACATCCATTTAGGTATAAATGTGTGTAGATCGGCAATGCCCAAGCTCTATACACTCGGTGCACATTTATTTTTTTGTAAAAGTACTTATGTACCTACATAGTTTTAGGCTGTGTTCTAATATATACACACACAGCTTTCCACGCGAAACTATACGAAATAGATGCAAAAACATTTTTGTCTACTTCGCTTCTAATTTTTTCATTGCGTATGCACAAGCACAAAGCAACAACATTTTCGTATGCTTTGTGGGAACATATTGGGGCCAGTTACCTTCAGCGTAAATTTCTTTGTTGTCCTGCATTTTATCGCAATGTTCGGGTGTCCGTTTCATTGTTACACAAATTTTCGGGTTAGCTGCGGGTGTCCGAGTGTGGTGTTCGCTTGTGCTCAATTTATAGCGAGGGTGATCGAACAGACTCGTTCGTAACCAAAGCAGCTGTCGGGTATGCATCTCGATCGAACACATAGTAGCCGAGTGTGGCGTTCGCTTGTGCTTGATTTTTAGTGAGTGTGATCAAAAAGGCTCGATCATACTCAAAGCTGTTCTCTGATGTATACCCAGGATACCACAGCCGGTTTCGGAGCCCAGGTTTAAAGGTTCTCCGACACTGTCCGATAAATCTCATCGCTCGATATACCTTCAGCTCGACGAGAGTTTTCCATATCAGCTTGGTCTCTAGAGTTACCCCTAGATTTATTATTTTCACGGGAGTAACCGTCAGGTCCTGTTGAAGTACCTTGCAAAGTCCAGCAGACCCTTTAATCATGTTGATATCACTGCAGAAGTAAGAGCTTAATTTGGACGTGCGAATTTGCCTCTTGCGTTCATTCTGCATTTTAAAAGCCCTGTTCAGAAGTCTCTTGGACCTTTTGGTAAGTTCAGCGTTCTACCACGGGAGTGACTTTCCTTCGCCAAAACAACCAATCAAATTACTCGTTGCTATAACTTCGTTGGTTAAGGTTAAATAAATATCTTCTTGTCTTCCGCGCACTGGGGGTTTACACAAGTCAATTTTGCAGATACATTAGCAATACATTCACTTTTTTTACTAAAGGCCAATTTCACAGTGCGTAGTTAACTCAAAATCGGCAGTTAACTACGCACTGTGAAATTGGGCCTAATACATTGAAACTTCTCTCAATGCTTTCGTCACTGTCTTTACAATGAGAAAACTAATACACATTCATGATTCAATAATATAAGGTTGGATAACCTGGCAGTTGTCTCGCTCCCGCATTCTGCCTTAGCCTGTTTAGCTTTCTTTTTTGATTTATAGAATCTACTACTAAAATACAAGGGGAAATATTGTCTTCGTATAAAAAGTTCAACAGGTAACACTGCCGATATTTTCATCGATTGTTTCGTGAAAATTGATTTCTTATTGCGTAAATTCAAGTAGGAATGGCAAAAAAATCAAAAATAATAAAACTATTTTGAATTAAAACAATAATTTACATATTTCTTTGCAGAGTATCGGAGTTATTCAAAAATTTTATTCAATAACCTGCGTTTTACAGCAGCTGTAGCAGGTAAGTTTTGCGTGCTAGGTGAAGTGCAGCCGTTGCTTACTTACAAGTAAGTATACCACCCCATAAAAGTGAAAGTGCAAATATTAATAAAGATCTCTTCTTGTGCTGGTCAGGATCATTTGTGTGTCCGTCCACGTTCGCTGGTGAGGGTATTTTCCCCACTGCAGCCTTTGGTTTGGTCAGGTGGAGAATTTGCATTCTTACAAGTTAGTATACCACCCCATAAAAGTGAAAGTGCAAATATTAATAAAGATTTTTTCTTGTACAGGTCAGGATCATTTGTGTGTCCGCCCACCAAATGTGATTCAATTTAAGATATTGAGCACGTAATTTTTAAATGCAACAAATATAATAATTTTAAAAAAATTAATTTATGTATATACATTACATCAATTGCATCTTTATTTTCCACTGATCTACACAATAGGCAATGAATTATCTTTTTTATGGTATATTAAACATGCTATATAGATATTAAAAATGAAATAAATGAAGAATGAGAGAATTTTATTCACTAAAATACTGACCAAAGAAAAATCTTATCGACAAATATTCGCAAATATTCAAAATAAACCATGGTTTCATTAAAAGTCCAGTATATTTTAAACAAAATTAGTGGAATTCAAGTAATCCTTTATTCAAAGGAACTACATCGCACATCGTCTTCAAAAGAGTCACAACTCAAAATAATAAGTTTGTCAGAAAATGCGAAAAACTATTTCTTAGCACATGATAATCATATGGGCTAGGGCGATTTATTATTTTTTTTTAAACAAATTATAACAAAAAGTTTCTCCAGCTTTTGCTCTGTGAACATTTTTAGCATATAATCTAAAAAATGCACAAATTTTGAGTTGTGACTCTTCTGAAGACGATGTGCGATGTAGTTCCTTTGAATAAAGGATTACTTGAATTCCACTAATTTTGTTTAAAATATACTGGACTTTTAATGAAACCATGGTTTATTTTGAATATTTGCGAATATTTGTCGATAAGATTTTTCTTTGGTCAGTATTTTAGTGAATAAAATTCTCTCATTCTTCATTTATTTCATTTTTAATATCTATATAGCATGTTTAATATACCATAAAAAAGATAATTCATTGCCTATTGTGTAGATCAGTGGAAAATTCTTTATATTTTTAATTCAATTTTTATACAAAAAACGCATTTCAGCACTACCAGGTGTTCTACAGTGGTCAAAAAATTATAACCGAACCACTTTTTGCCAAGTTTTAACGTATTATATTTGTTGTTATTGAACTTTTGTTATTTTTTTAAATAAAAATATAGTTCATTCTTTAACAAAACCCGTGGAAATCCATGTTTCCAAATTTGAGGAGTCCACTTGCAAAGGCGCTATGTAAATTTTTTTAGATTTTTAGTTTTTGGTGAGTAACGTACCAGTATTTAAAGTAGTTTCATGTCCACTAACAATACGGTGCAAAATCTTTCTATTTTCTGAAAAAATAGCATCAAATGTTAACTACTATTGCAAAAATCGCTATAATACTTATGTATGTATTTATACACTTTCAAACGTCTCCATCTTCTGATGAACTTAGAAAACTGCAAAAAAAAACTTGGTAGTTTCGGTGCCCAGTGGAAGGCGTCGTAAAAAAGAAGCAGACCAATCTTCATGGAAGAGCGAAGGCGAAAAGCTAAAAAAAGATAGCTATGTAAAAGTTCCTGTTTCAAAACTCGCTATATTCAATTCACTGCGATATTGTTTTTTAATGTTATTAGGCTCTTGTTTATCCAAATTTTCAGATAATAAAGAGAAATATACAATTTGGATGTTACTTGTTGTTTTTGACGTTTTTTTAATTTATGGCTCACTATTATAAAATCACATAACGATGTTTGCAAGTGGACTACTCCTTTGTGCAATATTAAAAAAAATTCAACAAACTTTCGTACAAATTTCGAACTTTTAAAAATTCTAAAAAATCAATCGACATTTTTAGCCATTTGAAATGTGTACTTTATTCCACTAGAATTCAATGGGCTACAAAACTGCATACTCAGAACTTAATTAAAAAACTCGAAATTTCACGAAAATTTGTAGATTTTTTTTTTAAATTGCATAAATTTTTAAAGCAGTGTCACTAGTTTGGTACATTTTTACAGATTTGCAAATTTTTATATTGGGCTATTGGTAAAAAAAAGGAAATTTTTTTTGTAGTCAAAAGATTGGTACAATACAGCGATGTTCTATTGAAAAATTTCAATAAATTAATTTTCGTGATTGGGATAGTAAAAAATATTTTGGGTGTTCAAACAATTACACCAAATTTTGGCAAATACCCAATCGTGTGACACTGCCTTTAAACTTTTATTTATACGGATGTTGGTAAAGAACGAACTATAAAAAACTAACCGAAATTAAATAGCAACAAAAATAATATTTTAAAACTTGTCAAAATTTGGTGCGGCTATAATTTTTTCGACTACTGTACATAAGTTGGCTATGATTACTCGGCCTTGCTATCATAGTAGCACAATGCCACTCGTATTTCACACAATACGAGCAGGAATTTCAAGATTTCAACCCTGTTTTTATGACAATTTTGTATCAAAATTTTGTTGAAATAAAAGTGAAACTTAAAAAAAAATTTAACCAGAACCCCCCCGAAAAAAAATCCTGGCTACGGCCCTGATGTACACGTTCTCAATTGTCTTGTCTTGTATAAACGCAAAGCTATACAATTGTCAGCAGTACCGGACTTGATTGCGTCAAAAGTTGAGAGCTGGGCCAACGTTCGTTGGGTCCGTCGACGCAAGGGTTGCCAATCTGATGCTCTCTATGCAAACACACATAGTCTAGCATTAAGCAAGTGATTACATAGTTTAATGAGTTTTAGAAAATATTTGTGTATGTATCACAGTGCACGGCAGTGCGCGTGAGTGACGAAAGCAGCCACAGTAGCATGCTGAAATGACTCGCTTATATATACACGAGATTTCAAGCTTCATAAACGATTAACCGGATTCTTAAAAATTGGGCTAAAGTGTTGCGAAACAAAATACGTTTTTTTGCTTTTGCCGGTTTAAGGGGGCATGTGGGTACAACCAACATATTTAGTGTTATTCTATAGGCCAATACCTTTCAAATGATACCTTATATATTAAGTTCCGGCTACTAGTTGGAAAGATATAGATATAAATGTGTTTTGGTTCGTGTCTCCACTACGAGATGCTGTGGTATGTATGTGGCGTCTGTACGTACCTTCATTTAATATTTTTCAACCTTTTAGGAATTAAAGTACAAAAACAACTGAGAAGATTTTGTTCCAGGATGTTTTGATTCGTACGCCTTTGTGAGCGTGGCTGCTGCCTGAAATTAAAAAAAAAGGCAATTTTTTAAACTACCACTGAGGCCGCCCTACTATGTGATTGGTGTGGATATCAGTAGAAGGGTATTCAAACAAGCTATCTAACGCCATCTTTTGTGTTTATAAACTATAAATATGTCATAACGTTATCGCCTGAAAACTAAAAATCGGGTTGCTGAAAATATACATTTCGGGCATTTTCTCAAAAACTGGTCAGTCGATTTTATTCTATGTTTACACAAATTTAGCCCAAAACCTTAGCTTTCATCTGACATATAGCCTATATCTGGGAAAACTCTTGTTATGGAGATATTGCTATTCTAACTAAAAAATGTCGCTCCAAAAAGGGTCAAATGGTTAAAAATTAACATATCCGTCTATTTAGGTTACTTTAAGATATAAAAATAACATACCCAGTTTCCCGAAAAAAATGCCCATTCCCCGATTGCCCCTCAAACCGGAATTCCCTGCAAATCGGGGAATTTCCCACGAGTTGACAAGTTGAAGGATGCTGTGCTAATCACTTAGTACCTGTCTTGAAAACCACAAATTGTGTGTATTTTAAAGTTTAAAGTGTGTACAGTCATGTACACAGTATTTAACTATGCTACATGGGTTTATCACCCGCACTTAACCTACCTGGGAAGACGCATACAATATTACCTACAGTTGTACATAACCGCTACTACTTACATACATACATATGTATAAATTGCCACTGAGCAAAACTACTTGAGAAAAAAGCATTAGTTTAATAGCACGAGTGCAACATCGTACACGTGATAGAAGTAAAACTTCTTAAAACGGCACATGTGTGGGCCCCACACACGGTAGAAATCTGAACAAAAATAAACTACGAGACAATCAGACGAATACAGTTGTTTATTGTATCCAAAGTTGGTACCAAGTTGATAAGTTTTTATCATTTCTTATCTTTATTTTTTATTTTTCCGAACACAAAGATATGATCATTCTTTTTCGCTTTATTCCGTATTCGAAAAAGTATATGGTTCAATGGACACATCGATTTTAATACATAATTTAGATTTAGATAATATTTTTAGCAATTTATTTGAGAAAAATAAAACATCTAGATTATTGTTTGTATTTTCGTCGCTTTTAAATTTGCTCCCTCATAATAATTGATATCAAATAAAACACCTCTTTGAGGAAACATTTTCGAGTGACGAAAGCTGAACTAGAAACACAAAATTTATGATATCAATTTCGTGACGAAAATTATACGCATTTTTTAACTGCCTTTGAAACGTACGGAAAATCTTTTTTTATTTATTCGGAACGTTGCGAAATTCCGTCTACTGCTAGAAATACGAAATAAAAAACAGAACTTTTGCAGCGATTCGTATGAATTAAAAAGATTTTCCCTACGTTTCAAAGGCAGTTAAAAAATGCGTATAATTTTCGTCACGAAATTGATAACATAAATTTTGTGTTTCTAGTTCAGCTTTCGTCACTCGAAAATTTTACCTCAAAGAGGTGTTTTATTTGATTAAATAGTCTCCAAAGTAAAAAAAAAACAAGTAACCGCAATACATTGGAGGCTATCACAGAATCCATCGTAGTCCGATTTTTCGTGCAAAAAAATAAAAATTCGATGACTGAATCCGAAATGCTACGAACCTTGTGTACACGACGCAACTCCACCTTCCATTCGTAGCGTCTTAACATCTGTCATTTTCGTGTCTTAACTTTGTATTGATTTCTTATGTGGGCATATGCTGCTTTAACATATTATTTGTTAGCATGTAGCCAAATGTATGTTTAAGTAGGGCTTTCGATTTATGCTCGCACATTCTCGAGGATTTCGATACCCTGGAAATCGAGTTCTCGACACAGTCTCGGGTATCACCTTTCTCACGAGCAATTGCGAGTAGTTATCGAGACATACGTATTTAGGTATGTAAGAGCATATCGAAGGTATTAAAAACAAAATAAACCAAACAACGTAGGTATGTGCATGATACAATAATTTTTAGAAGGTAGTTTCACTA